TTGGTCAGTCGTGGGGCTTGAACTCTGGGCTTGGGCGCTGTGCCTGCGCTCTTCAGCTCAAGGCAAGCGTTCTACCACATGAGCCAGAGCACCACTTCTGACCCTTTAAAATCTTAAGAGACTAGGCACACTCCCTAGAAAACAAATCTTTAGGAAATTTTGAAACCAAATAGCAGTTTTCCTTAATGCAAGAACTGCAAACACCACAACTGTACCAAGAATCCAAACTTTGCATCTTTCTGCCTTTTAAAACATACCCAATTGGAAAATAGCATTGAAACCAAATTATATCACACAAATAAGCTTTTAGCAATGCCGATCACATGTTCATCTCACCCACTTTACCATCATGGCCTGAGCGATTCACAGGGAAGGTCATTAGCTCCCAGTGGCCAGGGCTGGCCCTCGATTTCAGCAGGAGGAGGCGGTGCTGAAGAGTGCAAGCTAGGGAAGGAGAAACCTCATGTGGGACCTTTGTAGCTGTGTCCAGCTGGGGCCCCTTCTCCCCGCACCTTAGACTTCTGTGCAGAGCAGGTGTGAAGTGTGTTGTTATTATCGTTAAGTAACGTCCAAGGAGGTTGCCATCAACATGTCAGTGTATAAGCTCAGCGCATCTGATTGATGTCACCCTCTCATCGTTCTCCCCCATCCCTCCCAACCCCACCTCTCTGATCAGTTTTTCATTTCATAGGAGGCCAATTTCTGGCCTGGCAGGAGGCTTGTGTTGGCCAGTGTCAAGGATGGGGGTGGCATGTGAACAAGAACTAGAACATGGCTGGCCATGCGTGCTTGTACTCAGAGCACTGGGGTTGGGGTGCACATCAGAAGTAATGTCTGCCACAGGAGTCCCAGGGGGACTGGGCAGGCATGACCAGCGCCAGGTCTAAATTTGTGGAAGACCCTGCACAGACCTCCACCATGAGGAGCAGCGGTTTGTTCAAACCCCTCCCGGCCCCACACCCGCCTTTATGTCCTTCCCTACAAAGCCTTGCCCACGGCTGGCCCTCCACTGACTTTTCATTTAGGCTATGGTTCTTTCTGAGATTCGTGCTCTTCACTCAGAGCAAGGCATGTCCTCTGTGCCCTGAAAGCCAGCCCCTGGCTCTCCTGGCCCTGCAAGTAGCAGCACCTGTCCAGCACACAGCTGCAGTCCTGCAGTGACCACCCTGTGTCCAGTGTCACGCTGGCCCTAAGAAGGGACAGCAAGTGGCGGTGAAGTAGGTTATGCCTTGAAGCCTGAAACCTGACAGAAATAAAGGCAATTTGCCCCCAAGGACAAAGGTCCCTGACCCCAAAACTGTCCTTTGCATAGTGTGTTTTGAAAATAAAAAGCAACTAAATTATTTGCTCAGTAGGTTCTGGGGGAAAAAAGCAAAAAGCAAAATGTTGCCTCCACCCAGGATTCCAGGACATAAGTCTAGGTTTCCTGATAATGCTCATATTCCTTTCTTGTTTTCAGTCCTGTGAATGCTTCGTAAACAAAACACAAAAATATTGCACATTGTTTGTCCAAAAGCATGCCGCTTTTGCCTTTAAATGAGGACCTCTGGGTGTCTCGGGCTGCACGATTAGGGATGTCTATACCCCTGCACTTGCTGGGTTCTGCAATCAAGACCCCTGCAATTTGGCTAATCATTGTGCCATCCTTAGTGTTCTTGCTGATTGGGATACAACAGTGGTGGTTCACGGGAGAATCCCAGGACTCCTGGACTTGTCCTTCAGGCCTCCTTGCTTGGGGAGTCTGGCCCAGAAAAGGACCCCACACAGCAAAGGAACTGCAGTGTGCCTGGGGACCTCCACCCCCCCTCTTCTACACTCACACCTCTGCACCCACACCTGTCAACCCCACTGGGTAGGCCCGGACCCCAGGACTGGAGCTAGGCAGGGTGTGATAGGAGGACCCCTAATTTCGGCACTCTTGATGAGCTGTGTTTATGGCAAAAACCAGGACTGGAGGTGTGGTTCAGGTGGCAGACGGCCAGGCTGTGAGCAGAAACAAGCCAGACCCTGAGTTCAGGTAACTTGTAATGAGAGAGACAGAGACAGGGAGAAAGAGACAGGGAGGAGAGAGAGAGGGAGAGAGAGGGAGGGGGACGGAGAGGAGGCACAGGATTCCCTAGACCTCATCAGTTTCAGTTTTGTTTCTTGGCCTGCTGCTCCTGGGCAGTTGAGTTTTGGTTTCCCAGACTTTCATTTCTCCCTCAGTGGAGCTGGAGGGGGAGGAGGAGGGGCGGAGGCGGGGCCGGGGCGGGGCCTGGCAGGGAGCAGGAGCAGTCTGTTGCCTTGAAGAGCCGGGGGCGTGGCCGGGGCGGGGCCTGGTGGAGAGAGGAGCAGAGAAGCTGTTGCCTTCAAGAGCCGGGGGCGGGGCCGGGGCGGGGCCTGGTGGAGAGCAGGGGCAAAGATGTGGCCTTCAAGAGCCGGGGGCGGGGCCGGGGCGGGGCCTGGTGGAGAGCAGGCGCAGAGCTGTGGCCTTCAAGAGCCGGGGGCGGGGCCGGGGCGGGGCCCAGCGGGCCAGTTGAAAAGCCCTGCCCGCCTGGCTCCCCTCAGAGTGCTGCCCCTCAGCTGTCAGACAGGTGAGTGGGGCCCCTTGGCGCCAGGCACTGCGGGGCTTCTAGGCCTGGGAAGGGCGATGCGGGTGCTAAGGCTGGCGAGCCTGGGTGCGCTCAGACCCGAGACGCGCTGCAGGCCGGCCTGAGGGCGAAGGGGCGGTGCGGTAGCAGCTCTCCGTGGGAAGCTGCCCTCGAGGCTGGGGTGGAGCCGCCCGCCCGGACCGGCCTCTCTGGGTCCCTCCCCGCCCGCGCGCGGCGCCTGCCTGGCCGGTCCCGGAGCCTTCGGAGAGGGGTCCGAGGGGCTTCGGGACGGCTGGGGGCCCGGCCGGGGAGGAAGCAGGGCGGAGGCACGGAAATGCCTCCTGCTGCTGCCCTCCCCGAGGGAGAGGCTTCTCTGAGGTGCTAGCGGGGCCGCAGCTTTCCCTCCATGCTAGGACCCGGATGGTGTGGGGGGTGAGGGGAGGGGGTCGCTGCCCTCAGTCCATGTAGGACCCGGATGGTGTGGGGGGTGAGGGGGAGGGGGTCGCTGCCCTCAGTCCACGCTAGGACACAGGGAGGATGTGGGGTGTGGCATGGAGGGAGTCAGGGCCTTCCTGCAGTATGTCAGGAGCTCAGAGGGTGATGAGACCTGCTGCCTCCTCTCCTATGCGATTCTCCAAGTTGGTCAAATTGTGACTCACGGTTGGGGGATCAGGATCACAGGATGCTAACTCCCATTGTTAGCCCATAAGTTTCCCAGAACAACTCAGGGAGTTACCACTTCTTTGCTTTGCAGTTCTGCTGCTGGCCTGCACCACTCTGACTGCAGCACCTCTTCCCTCCTGGGAAGCCTCCCTCTGGAGCCTCAATCAGATGGGGGAGGCAGTGTTGGGGGGGTGAGCTGCAGGATGTTCTTCTGCTCCTAAACACTGAAATGGCAGGAGGTTGAGGTCAGCACAGAGCAGGAGAAAAGGGCAGGCGAGTCCTCCAGTGTGTTTTGCCCTTAGACTGTCCCCTTTATGGAAAGTTCCAGGCCCTTGGTGGGGCGGAACAGGAAGTGGGGTGGGACAATACATGTCCCACCTGCTCCTGTTCTGGTCATGGCTGAGCAAGCATCCTCACTGTGTAAAGCACCCCAGGGGCTTCCTGAGGCTGCCCACCCCACCAAGGGGACCAGTGTCCAGCACGGGCAGAGGGTGGGTACATGTTCCCTACAATCCTCATCTTGCCAGCTCCCAGTGCCTGGCTCTGCAGTGGAGAGGCGCCTCCTCCCACCACCCACCCACCCACCCACCCACCCACAAGCACTGCAGGAGCCTGAGTAGAACCCAGACCTGCCCTTGGTGGACTGCAAAGTGCTAAGGGCAGTGGGCTCTTCCCTCTTGCTAACCATGACCATGAGATGCGGCATAGCCGCTGGAGTGCATGCTAGGCTCTGGACTGTGGGGTCTTCAGAGGAGAGGAAAGAGCACTAGGAAGGAGAAGGCTGGGAAGGGGTCTGCCTCTTCTCAGGCTTCTCATTGAATCGGAGAGGGGAATCATTGCAGGAGTGATCTGAGCTAATGGCTAGGAGGTGATGGTCATAAGAGTCCAATGGTGGCCTTGTTCATGCAGTTCCCTGAGCAGAGCAGCTGGACTGCAGTGACTGGAGGGGCAGGCCTCCCTGTTGCCGAGACTCGCTGGGCACAGAGGTGACTCCAGAAAGATGTGACCTGAGTTCCTGACAGACAAAAGTCAGGAATTATCCTCCAGGGACTCTCACTTGATGAGACAAAGCACAAGGTGGACTCCCATACTCTAGTTTTAACTGGCCAAGTGGAACCATAATCCTGGGTGCAAGCCTTTGAAATGGGTCACTTTAGGCAAGGTGCTGTGTATGGTGGGACTGTCATCCTTGCTACTCAGGGGGCTGGGACCTGAGGGTTGTATTTCAAAACCAGTCAAGAAGGGATATCCAAGGGACACATATCTCAAATGATCTAGTAAAAAGCTGAAAGTGGAGCTATGGCTGAAGTGGGAATAGCAACAAGGCCCTGTATTCAAGCCCAGGACCAGCTGTGTGTATACACGCCCACACATACACATATATATACACGCATGTGTGCGTGTTCCACACACACACACACACACACACAGACACAAAAGGTTATCTCTTATAGTACCCAACCACCTCCTTGCAAAGGAAAGGGACCCATTCTCTGTTTCTTAACAGAATAATGATGCAAGGACAATGGTCTGGAAGTCAGTAACCTGAGGGCAGGCCAGAGGAAGGCAGAAGGGAGCTCACAGGAGAAGGCTTGTGAATGGTCATGAGTGGAGGGCGGAGTGCTCCTGAATATTCATCACCAGAATGCTGTTTTCTCAGGAGCATCACAGCCAGCCTTGAGGCTTGCAGACTTGGTGATCTTCTACTCTTAAACCACACCCCACGTGCAATATGAGCATCAGGCAGAAGATGAGTCCTTCTCCAAAAAAAACCAAAACCAAGAAATCAGCCACAATATCTACTCATCAGTTACTAAATGGAGATGCTGACACATCAGAGGAACATGAGAACACGGTATGTAGCTGTGTGACAGTGTCTCCACAGGGAACGGAGCTATGTGGTTCTGAGGGCTGTGGCCTAAGAGGGTAGCAGAAGAGGGAGAGAGACTCAGCTTTCAACACTGTACACAGACATGCACTGCTTGTTGCTGTTCACACCGCGAGACCCGGGAACTTGGTGTCTGATAGGCAGAGAGGGACCATACCATGTGGGTATAGACAAAGTTTATGAAAACATCAGACAATTATCTAGGGGCAGAGAAGGTAAGGCGGTGGTCAGGGGACAGCCACAGGACAGAAAGTTGACCATCTTGGGGACTGTGGAGAATTAGCAACCTTTAAAGATTGCTTCAAGGTAACCAAAGAGAAAGCCAGATGCAGGTGGGGCTCCATTAAAAGACACAGGAGTCTTGAGGCTTAGTTCTACACAATTAACTAGGAGGAGCATGAATGGCACTTCCCAAAAACCCCATCCCCCAGTCTGGCACCAGGTGCAGGACCTTGGCACCAGGTGCAGGACCTTTACCCTACATGGAGGAAGGGGCGTCCCCCTCGATCCCCCCAGAGGAATGCATGCTAGCACACACCCTCAGGGCACACAGGAACTCAGATGGGGCCTTGCCAGCCGATGGCCTCCTTGTCCTCCAGGGGCATGACACAGACCTGGATCTGCCCCCCCTTCCCTGGGCTTGGTGAGGAACAACCAAATGACTTTGTGCCATAGCCGAAGGGGCCATCGTGGTCTGGGAAACCAGCAGCCACTGCTGGCGTCTTGCAGGAGCTAGCTGGGCCCTGAAGCCACCGAGCACTGTGCTGTCCCGTGTCCATCCATGGCTCAGTCTCCTGCTACAGACCCTATGAGTCCTCCCTGTCAGAGCAGCCTCGCGGTCCTGTTTGGTGGAAAGCAAACATGGGCTGTGGGATCAACCCACCTTCACTGGGTTCCCACACCGACCTTATCCACTGTCAGTCTTGGGAAATTCTTCCTTCCTTGATCCATGGTTTTTCAGCTCTGAGGTGGAACATTTTTCAGGAGCGCTGCCCAAGTTTTCATGCAAAATGGACTGCAGTATTGAAGGTGACAGTATGAGCAGGGGAGCCTGTCTCTCCCTCTAGTCCCTGGTTACCTTTTACTGGTGATCCCTTCCTACTCCTCTCGCCTGGCTTGTACCTTCAGATGTGGGACAGGAATAACTCACACCCACTGTGTTAGTCAGCTGTGCAGCACTGTAACAAACTCCTCAGATGACCAGCTTGTAAAGAGAGAAGGTTCATTTGGAAAGCAATCTGAACAGTTTCAGGCCATTCCCAGTTGCTCTGCCTTCACAGTGCAGCAAGGTGGGACCATGTGGCTGAGACATAAAAGGGGACAGTGGTCCAAATATGCACCTGCGGGGGTGCCCATGACCAGAGAGCTCCCAGTGGGCCTTGCCTCTTCACGTCCCAGCGCCTCCCAAGATCGGCTATGGGAGACTACACTTGCATCACTCTGCCCTTGGGGACATTGGAAGTCTTATTGCAGCATGCCCATTTGTGGGAGTTGCTGGTCTTGCCCAGCCTGGGTGACAGGCACTGCTCATCCAACAGCTGCACTGCTGGGTAACAGCAGAACTGAGGTTCTGAAAGCAGTGCCAGGCCTGCAGTGTCAGCACAGGCTGGAAGCCCCTGGAGGCCAGGGCCCACAGCTGGCGCTGGGGCTGCAGCAGACTCTGATCTTAAGGGCAGAAAATGTGTTCCCAAAGACTGTGGTGGAGTCAAGGGGGTAGCAGAAGAGGGAGAGAGACTCAGCTTTCAACATAGTACACAGACATGCACTGATTGACAGCAAAGAGCCAGCAGTCTGCGAGAGAGATGGGATAAGTTGCCGAGGACAAGGGACTGTCAGTCCATCCTGCATTCAGGTTCTATGTAGAACGGGGCTCAGCTTCAAGGGCCAGGGCTTCTGCAGAGGCTGAGCTACAGATCTGCTGGCCTGCCTTGGCAGGAATCTGTGGTGTTCACACACACCTGCTCCTCCATCCTGCCTTCTCTGTGCCCTGCCTTTGCACCCTGCAGCACTCAGACAGTGTGTGTTGATGGTCTAATCTTGGTTGTCACAATTCAGGGTGTATGGTGCAGAGCAGTCAGAAGGGTGGCTACACCTGCTAAGAAGCCCGGGACTGCCCTAGTAAGCAATTGTTGGGCCTCATGGAAGCTACTGGCTTGATGTATGTGTTGCCCGCATTTGTCCCTTTCACTTCTTTTCATTTCTTGATAAGAATTTGAAGTTGGAATTTCAAAACTAAGCATTTCAATTTCTTCATCTTGAAGAAGTGGTCAACTGGTTAACAGCTAAGAAACTTCTGTAACTCATATCTACAGATTGTGTGTGTGTGTGTGGGGGGGGGGGGGGTTCTGGGGCTTGAACTCAGAATGAGCACTGTCCCTTAGCTTCTTTTGGTCAAGGCTATTATTCTACCACTTAAGCCACAGCTCTACTACCTGCTTTTTCTGTGATGAATTGGAATCTTATCAACTTTTCTGCCCAGGTAAGCTTTGAACCACGATACATAGATCTTAGCCTCCTGAGGAGGTAGGATTACAAATGTGAACCACCAATGCTTGGATTTTCTTATAGTTTTGGGGTTTTACATTTAAATCTGTCTTATTGTGCTAAAACTCCAGGTTGACTTTTTTCAGTCCCCCAGTGATCTAAAAATGTGAGGAAACAGCAGCGCAGAGGGCTTGGGTTCAAAGGTCAACATGAATAATAAATAAACAAATGTATCCCTGTTCTTTACAGTCCCACAGTCCCCTGCCCTGAAGCTTGCTTTGGTCCCTGTACACATCATTTTGTAGCTGACTTCAGACTCTTGTTTCAATCACTTGTTGTAAGCACATTGTACCTTCCTGTAGCTTCTTCTTCTTTTTTTTTCAATTAAGAGGTAGGTTTATTCAGTAGACCTGCTGGGTCCAGGGAAGCTTGGCACTCCATGTGGCTGGGAAAGGCCTGGGAATGAGAGAGCTGGGAAAGAGAGGAAAGAGAGAGGAAAGAGCTAGAAAAGAGCAGAGAGAGCAGAGAGAGAACAGAGAGAGCTAGAAAAGAGCAGCGAGAGAGTTGCTGTCGCTTCTTGTCTGTGTCCTGTGCTTCAAGTTTGCCTCCTGGGCCCTTGGCTGTAGACTGTCGGTGAAGATTGAGTTCCTTGTGTGGCTCTTGGTCTGGGTTTTCCAGGCACTCCCACCCACAAGAGAAGCAGGGGCTTCTCTTGTCCTGCACCCTGGGCATTGGGGTAGGGCACAGGTGCAGCCACAGCTGGTTCTCCATGTTTGCCCCTCCAGGTGGTGGACAACAGCCTCTGTAGGCAGTATGAAGAGAAGGTGCGGCCATGCATAGACCTCATCGACTCCCTGCGGGCCCTGGGCGTGGAGAAGGACCTGGCCCTGCCCGCCATTGCCGTCATCGGGGACCAGAGCTCGGGCAAGAGCTCTGTGCTGGAGGCCCTGTCGGGAGTGGCCCTGCCCAGGGGCAGTGGTGAGATCCTGCAGCCTTGTTCTTCTGCTAGGGCTTCCCAGGGCAGGTGTGTCCCACAGCAGAAGCAGGTTCTGCCACAGGCCTGGAGACTGCAGTGCAAGATCAAGGCCTGTGTCCCCTGAGGTTGTTCCCCTGGGCTGTCAGAGGCTGGCTCGGGCCCCGCTCTCGGGGGCTCTCCTCTGTGCAGGATCCCAGGACTGACACAGCTGCGCCTCCTCTCATACAGACTGCTCGTAGGGGCTACAGTGACCCTGTCCGACCTCTCAGGACCTCCTTCAGCTTCAGTAGCTCCTTTTTGTCCCTTGGTACCTGTATTGCAGCTTGCACCGAGGCCTTGCACTCTTGCTCGAGTCCTGCTCAAGACTGACCCCTACCACTCAAGTAATACCTCCACTTCTGGCTTTTTAGTGGGTCATTCATTGGTGATAAGAGTCTCTTGCCAGCGTGGGCTTTAGACTGCAATCCTTGGGTATCAGCAAGGTCTGATTTGCTAGGATTACAGAAGAGAGCCCTGGTCCCTGGCTTGGTGGCTTCTTTAGAGCACCAGTGTTCCATCACGGTTGGGAGTGGGGGCAGGCTGCAGTATATGGGGTTGTGAACGCCAGGCCATCCAGACAACGTCTTATCACAGAGTCTCGTGTGGGTGAATGGAAGCTGCAGATTGGTGGAGGTCTGATTAGGGGATCGAGTTCTCAACCCAGAACTATGTGTGTATAGGTGGGTGTCTTTCCTGAGCCCCTTTCCAGAGGTGCCAGCCACGTAGGGAGATAGATTGGTGCTGTGCTTAGTGGTGCAGCCCAGGAGGACAGTGCAGGATGGGAGTCCTAGATTCCTTCCTGTGAGCACTCAGCCCTGAGATGGTTTGGGAACAGAGCAGTTTCAGTGCGTGGGCAGGATGTGGAAGGAGTTCACAGCGGGTTTTTGTCACACGGTGGTTAGGGGCACTGGTGGGATAGCTTGTGTAGGTGGACAGAGAGGGGAAGGGTTCAGTGTGGCTTACACCTGAGCTCACGGTAGATCGCAGGGAAGGTGCTCTGACATGGCAAATGAGCCACAGTGCCCTGGGTGACTGTCCTCCCAAATGCACGAGGCTGAAGTGACCCGGACAGGAGGCCTCCGGCCATCAGAAGGGGAGGCCAGCAAGGCTCCACTTTCAGCAGAGGTTTCAGCCATTGCGTCAAAGCCTCCTAGGGCCTCTGGGAGTGGCACCCAGGACTGACATGCGGCTGGTCTCCTAGGCATCGTGACCAGGTGCCCTCTGGTGCTGCGGCTGAAGAAGCTGGGGCAGGAGGAGGCGTGGAGGGCCAAGATCAGCTACCAGGACAAGGAAGTGGAGATCACAGATGCTTCCTGTGTGGAAAAAGAAATCGACAAAGGTGAGGCATCCTGGTTGCCTGGTCCCACATTAGCCCCATGTGGCTGTCCACGTGGCCTCTGTTGGAGTTTTTCCCTGCACTAGGCTTCCTGTCCCTTCACCCTTCATAGACCAGTGTCTTCAGGACCAACCCCAGATGAATGCTTTGCTCCTTCCTGTTGCAGCTGCTTTCTGAGAATAGCATGGGCTTAAGGGTAAAGATGGCAGCTCCCCTCCTTCTAGGGCCTGTCAGCTCCCCACAGTTGAAGCAAATAGGACACTAGGGAGGAGCGACTGCCTTCGCTTGCAGCCTTGTCCCAGCCTGGGTGGTGACACCATCACTGAGCCCCATTGGACCCTGTGACCCTGTCTGACCAGGAAGTGTGGTCGTGTGCATGGTGCAGCTCAGCCTGCGACCCTGTCTGAACAGGAAGTGTGGTCGTGTGCACGGTGCAGGTCAGCCTCGTGACTGGTGCGTCTCAGCCAATGAAATCACAGAGATCAGTCTGAAACCTGTGCAGGTGGGGGCGACCCGCTGCTGTGTGTCTTCCACCATGAGGAGAAGACCTCTTCCTCCTCCACAGTCCTCCCCTCTCCCAACACCACATGCTTAAGTTTCAGTCCTTTGCAGAAGGGGCCAATGGTGTGCCCTGATTCCAGAATCAGGAAAAGAAGGCTTGCCTTTGTCAAGTGGGAGCACAAATTAGCTAGGTCTGCTCTCTTACAGGAAGTTAAACCCTGTCACTTAGCATTACTAGACTGGAAACTGAAAAGCATGGTGTGTGTCATCCTTCACGGCTGAAGAATCAGCTGGTGTGTGTACCTGATGGCAGTACTAGCTCTGGCTGGTGTGGCTTTTGGAAGCCTAGCAAGGCCTTCTTCAACTCTCTGGGCACTCAGAGGCTTGAGCTGGCCTTCTCTGTCCTGGGTGGACAGACTGGTTGGGAACTATCCATGATGACAGCAGGGGTGGGTCTAGGTACCATTTGAGGCCTAGCCCCCTGAGAAACACCTTCAGTCTTGGTTGCTTTGGGTCACACGTGCATCCCGGAGTTGAGATGCTGGCTCTGTGTTGAAGGAGAAGTGTCAGATGAATGTGGAGAGGAATGTGCAGGCATGAAGGGAACCCACTCCGTCTCAACTCTGTAGTCTTTCCTACCACGGAAGGTTTGGAGCTGCAGGCCACAGGACTGGGCTCCTAGATCCAGAAACAAGTCCCCTGTGCCTTCTCTGTGGTCTCTGTCCACAGTCCCCACACATGTCAGGAAGAACACATTCTGGCCTGATGGCCAGTGGAACCTACCTGTCTCTGCCTGTTCAGCTACTTACTGGCACTGTGCGTGACTTTTGCACGTGTGCCATTGAGCAGACCTTAATGTCACAACCGCACATCAGAACATGGTGTTGGGGAACTCTAGGTGATGCTCCACATGTCCTTTTGTGTATTGGCACCCTGAGGGCCAGAGCAGAACAAGCATTCCAAGAAGGCGTTGCAGGTGATGTTGAGAATAGAAAAAAAAAATGGTGTCCACAGCTGGGCGCTGGTGGCTCACACCTGTAATCTGACTACTCAGGAGACTGAGATCTGAGAATCCCACTTCCAAGCCAGCCCAGGCAGGAACGTCTCTGAATCTATCTCCAATATCTACAAGGAAGTGGCGCTGTAGTGCAATTGGTAGCACACTCGCCTTGAGCTGAAGAGCTCAGAGACAGTGCCTAGTCCAGAGTTCAAGCCCTACAACAGGCAAAAAAGAAAAAAAAAAGAAAATTGTGTCCACTTGGTATGAAAGGAAAGGTCTCTAAGGCCCTCATTATGAGGGAAAGGAAGGAAATGACATCTAACAGAACACAAGTGTCCCGTTCCTGCCTAGAGAGTTGATTCCCCTTGTATGTGACCACTTCTGGCAAAGGGGTTCCCGCTTGTCTTTGTTCTCCTCTACCTTGCGTGGGGTGTCTGTGTGTGGAAGGCCTCCCAGGTGTCTGCAGATCACTCTGGCCATGGCAGGAGACTGTGAGGGTTCTTTGGGTCTCACCTCCTCCCGTTGACTCTGCTCCTAACGTGCTGGTGTGCAGGACTGGTGGAGTCCGACAGGTATACCCGCTCTCTGACCTCCATGGCTTTCCTCTTCCTCCTACCAGCCCAGATGCTCATTGCGGGGCAAGGGCTGGGCATCAGCGCTGAGCTCATCAGTCTGGAGGTCAGCTCCCCACACGTCCCCGACCTGACTCTGATCGACCTTCCCGGCATCACCAGGGTGGCCGTGGGCAATCAGCCTGCTGACATCGGTTACCAGGTGAGACTCTGTTGTTAAGAAGGGGATGGCCCACTGCCTTAGAGCACCGGTCCTCAGGGCTGCATCTGAACAGATCTCTGGAGGTACCAGTGCGGCCAGTGTGCCCAGTTGTCATTATCACTGCCTATGGTTTGATAGAGAAGGTGAGGTCAAGGAGCAATTCATGGCCACTTCACGAGGAAACCTCTCCTTCCCCGGTAATAGGAAGGGTGGGCACTGTCTTATCTCTCCCGGGGCCATTCCCAGGTGTCATAGCATGTCATTGCTTGCAGATCAAGAGACTCATCCTGAAATACATCCAGAAGCAGGAGACCATCAACTTGGTGGTGGTCCCCTGCAACGTGGACATCGCCACCACGGAGGCGCTGAGCATGGCCCAGGAAGTGGACCCAGATGGAGACAGAACCATAGGTGTGAAAAAGGAGCGGCTAGCCGTGACATGTGGGGTCCAGAGGGACGGGATCCAGTGGGACCGGGTCCTGGGAGTCCTGTTGAACCGAGCTCAGCACCCCTGGAGGGCAGGGCATCAGGTGGCAGTAGGAGCAGGTTTGGTGGCCACTGAGGTAGAGGAAGTGAACTGAGAGGGACTCTGGTTGGATGGACTCAAGTGGCCCTGTACGCTTGCCTTCCTGTTAGAAAGGCCCAGGATGCTCACAGAAAGCAACTCCTGTCCTCTGAAGCAACTGAGTTGGACGTAGTGCCAGAGTGCTGGAAGGAGGAAGGGATATGTGGAGGGAGGTCTCTGGCCTGGTGAAAGGGCTCAGGAAGGCCGGGCTGTGTGTAGAGTCTCAGGTCTCCACCCTAGATGGGGGTGGCTTTGTCATGTGTTTCTTGGGGGCCCTGGCTGCTCTCCACCCTCCACCTGGGGTCTGGGCCCTGCATGTAGGGATTTCTCCAGGGATGGGAGGAAGTTCTGCCAAGCTGGTGCCAGGATTCAGTGAGCCGTGATGTAGGGTACGGTGCTGCTTGGGTCCTTCTTGCCACAGATAGAGGTGCTCAGTTGTCAGGTAGCCCCCACCGTGATACTCTGCGCAGCTCTGACTGCAGGCTCTGGCCCACAGGCATCCTGACCAAGCCTGACTTGGTAGACAAAGGGACGGAAGACAAGGTGGTGGATGTGGTGCACAACCTCGTGTACAGACTGAAGAAGGGCTACATGATTGTCAAGTGCCGGGGTCAGCAGGACATCCAGCAGCGGCTGAGCCTGTCCGAGGCCCTGCAGAAGGAGCGAGCCTTCTTTGAGGACCACCCCCAATTCAGGTGCCCCCACCCCAAGGGTGCCAGTCTCTCCTTGAGAAATCACAGACAAAGCAGCTTTTAGGAGTGTGCTTGAGTGTGAGGACTTGTGTGAGGGGCTGTGTGTGTGTGTGTGTGTGTGTGTGAGTGTGAGTGAGTGCAGTTGTCTGGGTGTATTTATGTGTGTGAGGTATGTATGTGGAGGTGAGGGTGTATGTATATGTGTCAGGGTGTGTCTGAGGGTTTATGTGTGTTTGTGAGGGTGAGGGTAAGTGTGTGTGTGATGGTGAGTGTATAAAAGTTTTGACCTTCTGTGAACTGTGAGGGGGTAAAGGTATGGTTTTGATCTTGTGGATCACTTTTGAATTTGCCTGCAAGAAGAAACAATTTGTATTGTTGACAAAGACAGAAATAATAATGGAGGGAGCGAAGGAGAGACTTGCTGCAGCTCTTAACTAGCCAAGCTGATTGCAAAGAAATAGAAGAGAATGGAGGAAAGGCCAAAAGCCCAGAAACACTCCCCGGTACCATCCCACTGTGTGATCAGCACAGCATAGCTCTGTGTTTTGACAAAACATCGCTGCTGGGCAGTGTCCACAAGAAATTATTTGCTGAAGGAACCAATGCCAAAAGCAAATATCAAGTCCAGGTTAAAGCTGCATACCAGTAATAGTCAAGCATTTTGTAAGAACGCATGGATGACAATTTGCAATTTCAGAAAAGATCTGACTTTTCCAACCTTCATTCTACAAGGTGAAGTTTTTTGAAAGCAGATCATTAATTCAACTTAAAGAGAGTGGGGGCCAGGTGCTGATGGTGTATTCCTGTCATCTTAGCTGCTCTGGAGGATGAGATCTGAGCATCATGGTCCAAACAAGTCTGGGCAGAAAAGTCTGTAAGACGTGTCTATAATTAACTGCCGGAGTTTGCCGGCAACGAAAGGGAATCCTGAATTAGGGGGCGAGGATGTGGAAAATTAAAGACATAAAACAAAGGATGGGGTCGGAGGTCTGCAGCTCAAGACTACACCACATTTATTTTTAACTTTCCCTATTATATACTATTAGAAGTCAAGAGGTAACATAAGGTTACAATAGTGCAGAAAAACAAAGAAAATTTTAATAAAAAAAAGTGCAGTAAAAACAAGACAAGGTCAACTGGTAGAAAGTAAAACAAACTGCAGACATAGCAAAGCAATCCCGGGCACCTGGTGTTTTTCATGAAAGCCAGTTCCTTGTACGTGCCTTCAAGTGAGTACAGGGGTCAAGATGACCTTAGAGCTTTACTGTTGGCTCCCAACAATTAACCACCAAAAAGATGGAAGGGGAGTTGTTACTCCAGTGGTAGATGACTAGTCTTGAACAAAAAAGCTCCAGGGACAGTGCCTAGGCCCTGAAGTCAAGCCCCAGAAACTACACATGTGTGTGTGCGCGTGTGTATGTGTGCGCGCACACACACACACACACACACACACACACGCACACACACACAAAGTGGGGGAGAGAAAGAGAGTAGGGCACAGTGGTATGTATCTATAATCCAGCCCAGTACTCAGGGGCTGAGGCAAGATGACTTTGAGTTAGAAACTAGACATTGCTACACAATGAATCCATGGATGGATGAGGGGATGAATGAACAAACCAGTTAATGATGGGTATGTGAATGAATGAAAACATGGGTGGATGAATGGGTGGCTAGATGAGTGAGTGAATGCATGATGGAGAGATGACGCACAGGTGCATCACAAGGATCTGAGGACTATAACCGGATGCCTGGACACAGTTATACTCTGAGCTGGAAGGGATCCTTCCCGGTGCTGCAGCAATATAAGCTGCTCACCTGTGGCTACAATTGTGTACAGGCCAAGGTGGAACATCTGTTGGGTAGCAGTCCTAAGGCATTCCACTCAACCGGAAGTAACTGGATGGGCCTTGTCAGGGTACCTGAGCCAATAGGCCCCTCTCTTGTGTTCTCTCCAGGGTTCTGCTGGAGGATGGGAAGGCCACGGTGCCCTGCCTGGCAGAAAGGCTGACCTCTGAGCTCATCACTCACATCTGTGTAAGTGTGGGTGGGCCGTGTGTTCTCTGAAAGCAGAGTTGAGGGCTGCACCGTTGTGGGACACACATGCTGACAGTGAGGCGTGTGCAGGATCAGGCCGTGTGGGGCATGTGTGGATTGCAGCAGGGGGCATCAGGAGCCCTGCGGCTAGGGTTCAGTGGCCATCACCCACAAGAATTGGAAGCGCTCTGGCTGGAAGCCTGTCACTCCTGGATGTTGGGCTGGTGTTCTGAGTTCTCCAGCATTCCTGTCCACCTCATGGTGGCAGAGCCTCCAGCCCCACCCCTCAGCCCCCCACTGGGGAGCAGAGAGCATCTGGTGAGGATCTGACCCCTTTGCTCAGTGCCAGAATTCAAAGTCTTCCCATGAGCCAGGAAATCCCCTGCGGGACGTCGGGCTGTCAGCTGTGGCCCAGCTGCTCAGCAGAGTGAGTTCAGAGCCTCCTTTTCACTGCTAGTGCACTCTCAAGTTTTGCACTTTTTGCTATTTTTTTCAGAAATCTCTGCCAACATTGGAAAACCAAATAAAGGAGAGTCATGAAAGAATAACAGAGGAATTACAAAAGTATGGCATGGACATACCAGATGATGATAATGAAAAAACGTTCTATCTAATAGAAGTGAGTATTACCTCATGTGATAGTGGCTATCACATCTTCCCTGTGGGAGGGGCCGCACATCCTCCCTGTGGGATGCCCTATCACCTTGCTTGTGGACGGGCTCCATGCTCCATGTGGGAGGGGCTGTATCAACTGCCATGTGGGAGGGGCCACATCATCCTCCATTTGGGAAGATGCAAGTAGGATGACTTCGATCATCCTCCAGGGGAGGAGCCACACATCCTGCATGTAGCAGTTCTATCATCCTGTGTGGGGATGACCATCAGATCTGTCCATGTGGGAGAATCAAATCACTGTCCACACTAGGATCCTTGCCTAGTGACTTTCTGTCTTCACTCTCCCAAATGCTGATCCAAGCACATTCTGCCCACTTAGTGCTAAAGAGGGGGTCAGCTATGGCCGGGGAGTGGTGGGCACATGCAGCAGATGGACTCCACAGGGAGTTCAGTTCTGCTCAGCTCATGGACTCTGCCATAGGACACAGGAAGCAGGCAGAGGAAGGTGGGGTATCCTGTTGCCAGACCTGCTTCTCTCCCATCATTCCACGGTAGCCCATAAGAGAACAGCAACTCACTCTCCCTCGGTGAACCTTGAACCCTGAGTTTGAAGTATCTCCACTTCTACTGTGGCTTTTCTTCTGCACAGAAAATCAATGCATTTAACCAGGACATCACTGCTTTGATGCAAGGAGAGGAAAATGTGAAGGATAATGAGACGCGGCTATTTACCCAACTCCGAAAACAGTTCCATGCCTGGAGTGCTAAGATCAAAACTACTTTCAAAAATGGTGAGTGTCTTTGAGGTTGACACAGGTGGGAGAGGAGGCAGAGAACGTGGCCCTCACACATGGCCAGTCCAAATGTGAGGTGGATTGAACCTGGTTTGGAAAACCACTTGGCACTCCCTCAAAAAAGCAAATGCATGCATGGCCCAGCAATTTTCAGGGAAGCACATACTGGGAGGAATTCAGGCCACAATCATTTTCAGCAGCTCTGGGAGGTGGATGGGTCCTGTGGATGCTTGGCCTGATTGGAATGAGAGACACCAGGAGAGGGGTAGAGCAGTCCTCTGGGTGTATTGGAGGGCAACCCCACATGGTGGGGAGACCCACCATCTCATAGAAAGGCAAGAAGGGGGGAAGGGGAGCATCAGCAGTGCAGGTGTTCCCGTCTGCTTCCTGCCAGCATGATGTGAACTGCTCTGACTGCCACACCTGCCCGCTGCCATCTTGATCCCCCACCAGCTGGTCTTCCTCATGGTGGCTCCTCTCAGGTTTTTGGTCACAGTGGTGAAGTGTCCAACTAGCTCAGGGACTTGGAGAAGAGAATGTGTTTTCCTCTGGAGGCTGAGATGGACGGTCAGGCTGTCAGCAGGGCCGGGTCCAGTTGCCTGCTTGCACATGGCCCCTCTCGCTGCTCCCTCACCTGCTCCTTGCGTCTGTCCTGGGTCCTGGTCTCTATCTGTTAAGACAGCGGACTAGGTCACAGCCCACTGCACCACCCCATTTCAACTCAGTAACTGCTTCAAAGACACCATCCACAAACACATTCCATGGATCCTGGGGAGTCCGCATCCAGCCTGAAGAGAGTTTTGAAAAGATGACACTAAAAACAAGCACAAAGGGCCCAATGTCACGGGGCCCATCGAATGTGCAGGAAAGGAGGCAATCTGTGCAGACAGAAATGAGAGGAGCAGCTGCTGGGCCAGAGAGGCAGGAATGAGAGGGAGTGCTGGGCACAGCCACGTGCACAGCCCCGCAGCCCTGGGGTGTGCTGAGTGTCCCTGGACTGTCCACGGGTGTGTGAATCCATCTCAAGAAGAGCAATTCCTTTGGGAAAACAATGCCACCCACAAAGGAGGCAGCAGGCAGGCAGCCCCAGCTCCCCAGTGCAGGCCAGGCCCCATCTGACTCTCCAGACTCCACATTGTCTCACACAAAGCTGGTTCTGCTGTGTGAAAAGGAACTGGGCATTTGATCTAGTTAGCAATGGTGCTGTTTCACTCAGAGACCACCAAAATGCCTGCTGGTTCTTGCCTAGGTCACTAACTGTTTTTCCCAGCTCAGGCAGTGCCACCTGCACCTCGGGGTCTTTTTTGCTGCCAGGGATGGGAGGTTGTGGGGAGAGCATATTGCACAGGGATGCCTTTGCTCCTGTCGAGTGAGACAGGTTTCGTGCAACTCCATACCCACACGTGTTTCTGGAGTGGGTGTTTCTCTTTTCATTTTTCTCTTCTCCCATCAGAGAGAATACAGTGAGACTGTCCAGAAATTGTTAGTTAAATAATTTAAAGCTATTCTTTCCTGGTGTAGGTTTTGTCACTTTGCATGATGATATCTGGAAATTTGAAAGGCAGTACCGAGGCAGAGAGCTGCCTGGATTTGTCAATTATAAGATGTTCGAGTCAATCTTAAAACAGCAGATAAAAGCCCTGGAGGAGCCAGCTGTGGACATGCTGCACAGCGTCACTGGTGAGTGCCTGCTCCTCCTCCTGACATTTTACTGCTGGGGCAGGAAAGTTCGAGCCAAAGTCAGAGCCAAATTGCAGTGTATACTCCAGCTTACTCTCTGTAAAACCACCCGTCTCCAACTCTCTAGCCATCCACTTGGTGCTCAACGGTGTAGCTGTATTCTGACACTGCTTGTCTGAAAAGAATCCCCACCACTTGGTCCAGACTGCCTCCTCAAGCCCCAGGCCATGTCCTCCTGGCAGGCCACCCCTGCATCTGACCCCTAAATCTCCTTCCCAGGTGTGTCCATCACACAACCTAGAGCTGACTAGACTGTCATTCCCTTGTGAGTTCTGGGAGACGGTAAAGGGGCTGGGGCCTTGCATCGCTAGGGAGAGGTGGCATTGGAGACTCCGGCCCAGAGCCAGTCTGAACCTGGGCCTGTAGCAGGTCCCTGGAGGCTGCTTGCAGAGCCAGACTGCCAGGTCCATCCTGTCCTCATGTCTCCTGTCCTCACGGGAGGCCAGGATGGCAGGGGTGAAAGTCCTGAGCTCACACCCCTGTCTTGGCCCTTGTGACCTCCCATCTGAAGCTACCCTGGAGCCACCAGAGCGCCCTCAGCAGAACAGGAGATGTTCCTGGCGTGTGTGGATTCTGAGACTCCTGGCATGTGCTCCTTCTGGGACACTGGATGATTCTGTCTCCTTTCTGCCCCTCCCATTCCCCCTCCTCCTTCATGCTTCTGCTTGGGCTCAACACGCCCCATGTTGCCATCTCTGAGAAGCAAGGTCAAGAACCAGACACCTGTGTACACTACCAGCTTCATCCCTGTCGTGAGGGTGATTGTGGGGAAGGGGGTCCACATCCCCTGGCCTGGCACAGAAGGAGCCCAGGTGGCATCCTGAGAGGAGACCCACTTCCCGCCCCCCATGAAACATTGCCTCCTGTGCAGGGAGTCCACACTGTCTGCACGTTGCCCTCTGCTTTCTAACCTCCTTCTCCAGACTGGAGACTTTCCATTTCAGCCATAAATAATCATTTTTCATTGGTAAGGGAAGCTGAGGAACTGAGTTCCCTCAATAAATTTCACCTTTGCCTTGTGGCTGAATATTGTACACTTATCTTCAATTGTACTTTGATGAACTCTGCTCCTCTTGTTCAAGGGAAGGTTGTTACTGTTAGCCAAATGAGCTTCCTTCCCTTAGCTTAGCACGCTCCTTCCCCTCTCCACAGCTTAGCATGCTCTCTTCCTAGGCAACAGTGGGCCTCTATATCAAAGGCAGTAAATAATCAGCCTCCAGCCCCCTTCACCTCGGGATGGCACTTCTCTGGAGCAGCTACCCCCATAGACAGCAACAAGAGCCCCTGAGAGTGACCTCAGCTCTGGGCAGCTGGAGGACCCTTATCTACTATTTTGACAGCAGCCATCAATCCTAGTCTGCCATGATGAAGCCCTTGGCCCACATGTCTACACCGGGATCTCCGCCCCATAGCCCCTTCCAGCCCCTCGTAAACCTCCTAGGTTATATAGGTCACCCCAGACAATAGCCGGCACTGCTTCTCACTTCTACTGGAATCTTGCCAGTCCCTTTCCCAGTAGTAAACCTTTCTTGTTCTCTGTACCTGGATGTCTTGGTGGTTCTGGCAAAATCCAAATAATCTAACAGTCACACTTAGAGCCTGGTAATCCCAGAACAAAGGTGGTAAAATTTAGCCAGGCACCAGTTGCATGCACCTGTAATACCAGCTGCTAAGAAGCCTGAGATCTGAGGATCATGATTCAAAGGCAGCTTGGGATGGAAAGTCCATGAGATTCTTATATTCAGTTAACTAGCAAAAAGCCACAAGTAGAGCTGTGCTTCAAATGATAGAGTGCTAGCCTTGAGCACAAAACCTAAAGCAAAGTGCCTGGGCCTTGAGTTCAAACCTAAGAATCAGCATTCACCCACCTCAGCCCCCCAAAAATATCAGTATATAAACTCCAGCTTCAGCTTCCCAGAATGTGTTCTTGGACTTCTTGTCAAATAGTGTTGGCTTAGATTCTGGTGATAACTAAAGATGACTTGACTGGTAGGTTACAAATTATTTCTGACAAGGAGAAATTTTCATTTTCATAACTATATTGTGAGGTAGATGTGAGACAGGAGACAGTGCTGTTTTCAGGTTGGTTCAGCAAACGTGGGGAGGAAGAGCACAAGGAAGGAGGAGCCTGACAGAGTCTTTGTTTCTTAGCATCTTATCCCTAGGAGTTTTGTGATCTATGAAGAGGCCATCTGGTCTTAACCCTGTTGAACGTTTTTCTCTTACATCAGATTTGGTCCGACTGGCCTTCACAAAGGTTTCTGAACAAACTTTTGACAAGTTTTTCAACCTCCACCGAACTACCAAGGTAAATCCAATTTTTTTTAACTGAGAGTAAATAAGTCTGACTATAGAGACTTCTTCAATTTTATTTTCCTTTTTTTTGGTAATGAGATTTGAATTCAGGGCACTAGGTGGGTGCTCCACTGCTGAGCCAAGCCTCCGGCCTAGATTTCTTGGACGGCAACCATCTGGAGGTTCTTGTGGGTATTTAGAGAAAGAAATATTGAAGCTCACTAGAGAATCTTACTGATGCAGCTGCCGGAACGTTGTGGTCAACACAGTGAGAGAGACCAGAGAGACAGAGACAGGGAAATGGAGAGAAAATACAGAGACCATGTTTGCCCTCACCAGGAGAGTGAGGACACGGGGAGAAAATGGCCCCGACACTCAGGGAGGAACAGTGTCACAAGGTCATCTGTGTTGTGTGGAGAGAGAGCCAGGGGAGGAGGCCCCCTTCCCACCTCCCAGCCGGGGACAGGCCCTGGGCCCCCAGCACAGGTGGGGCAATGGTTCTGCCACACTGCAGCCAGGGGTCACGAGTGGGCTGTTTCCCAGCAGGTGTCCTTGAAGTGAATCTAGTGAGATGTGGTGGAGGAGGAGCACGGTTGCAGGACAAGGTGGCCTAGCATGGCCTGTGGTCAGGCCAGGGTGAGGGTTGAGCTCCCTGACTCTCCAAAGCCCAGAGCAGAGTGGGAACTGGGCATACCAGCCTGCACTGAGTCCCTTCTCCTCCATGTGTGCACAGATAGCCATGTCAGCCTGCATGGGTTCCTTCTCCCTGTGCACAGGTAGCCATGTCAGCCTCCGCTGAGTCCCTTCTCCTCCATGTGCACAGGTAGCCATGTCAGCCTGCATGGGTTCCTTCTCCCTGTGCACACATGGACACACCAGCCTGCACTGGGTCCCTTCTCGTCCCTCTCCCTGAGCATGCTCAGTGGACCTCATTCCTCTGCTCAGACATCAAAGCTCAGAGTTGCCTGGAGTTCTGGTCCCCGGCTGGAGAGGGTCCCCAGTGGGAGAAACCCAGCAAGTAGCGTTTCCTAAGGAAATGGTGGGCTTCCTTCTCAGGGATGACCCTGTGGGCTTGCTGGGGACCTGGGTTCTCTGTCCTGGAGTTTGCGTCCCATGGGCCATTCACTCATGGTTCTCTTATTCCCACAGAACAAAATTGAAGACATTAGATCAGAGCAAGAAAAAGCTGCTGAGGAGGCCATTCGACTCCACTTCCGGATGGAGCAGATTGTCTACTGCCAGGAGAAGGTGTACAGAACTGCGCTGACAAAGGTCAGAGAGGAGGAGGAGAAAGAGAAGGAGAAACAAAAGAAATCACAGTACTTTAACCAGCTGTCAGAAGAAACCATGACAGAAATATTGCAGCACCTGAGGGCCTACCATCAGGTGCGTATGCAAATGCAGCAGACCCAGGGCCTGGTCCTTTCCTAAGCCTTTGTGTTTAGCGTTGTCCAGTCTGTAGTATGGCCATAAGCCAGTTCTGTCCCCCAGTGTTGAAGTGGCTCCAGGGGCAGCTGTGGCTTAGAGCCAGTGGCTTTGCCTGGCTGTGTGACAATAGCTGAGTGACGGACCAGTGACTTCTTTGTGAAATGTAGTCTTGCTGTGAGAGGAGCATGGGCGAGTGTGGGTACCAGGTGCTGCTCAGGTGCTGCCCAGGTGAGACTCAGGTGGGATCCAGCTGGATAGGTGTTGCTCATGTCTACTCACCTGAGCACACCAGCATGGCCAGGGTGGGACACGGGACATGGGAGCGAGTGGACAGGAGCCCCTGGCGATCTTCCGGCTTGGCTGCTGGGAGCTGGGCTGTCCATCTGGGCCTTGCACACACGCCCCTGGTCTCTCATGGCAGATCTGGGCCGCACCTTGCTAATGGCACCCAGGGTTGGCCTGGTCTTCCAGGGGTGGATAGTGAGGCCTTAAATGGAGGATCCAGCTCTGGTGACTATGATGAGGCCAGGGGAGGGAGGTCAGAGCCCCAGGGCCCCACACAGGGACCGCCTCCATTTTAGAGAAGACAAGGCCCACACAGCTATGAAACCCACAAGGAGCATGGCTGACCATGGACAGGAATGTCCACTAACCCCATCTGAGCTACATGGCGCATCTTAGAACAGCCTTCCCCGGGTCTTTCATCTGGTCCCATGCCACTCCACAGGGACCCGAGCCCCCATGAGCCTCCACGTTGCTATACTCATGTGCAGGTGAGAGTCTGCATGTTGCTGTGCCTGGTCCCTGCTCTTTTCCTTGGAGCCGCTTGGGCTCAGGTGGTTGTGACAATAGAGCACTTTGTGGTCCTCTGTAAGGGTTATTTTGGCTTCCAGTCATCAGCTTCCATGGCCTATTGTGGGGTAGCCTCTAAGCAGAACTGGCATGACAGGAGACCCTGGCTGTCTAGGCCAACAGGACCTCTGGGAGACAGCTGTACTGAAGTGCGTGGCTTCTGGGGACACAAGTGGTCGCCTCCACTCAGAACACTGGGCCACCTCTGATGTCAGGCAGTGCCCAGTCCCCTGGGTCATCCTCCACACTAGCCTTTAGCCTTCCTTGGCATCTCTGGGCCTTTGACATCTTCCTGGGACTTTTCCCGGGACTTGTGGGGTGACAGTGACGTCACTTGCAGTCCCACCCTGCAAACTCTGCACAAGCCGAGCTCCTTGCAGGCAAGGTGAGAGGCCCAAGGCCTTTGTGAAGGGAGACAAGGCCGTGCAGCGTGTGCTCTGCCCGCAGCTGTGTCTGGGGTGGTTCTAGAGCAGGCTGACAGGCTCTGGATCATGGGCTTGACTTGCTTGTCATTTCTGTTTGGACTTGAGGAATTTTTATTTTTCATCATCTATTGCCAAGACTGATGGTCAGCAGTGTGTACGTGATCTATCAATTCAGTTTTTTACTCTACCAGGCCCAGGGGGTGGCAGATGGCTCCATCCAGAAGAACCTGTTTTCCCCACAGAGGCTCGGGGTCACCCCAGCCTCCCTCTGCACTTTACACACGGTGCTGCTCTGAGGAGCCTCTCCTCCTCAGGTCAGCGCGATCACATGACAGTGACCTGCGTGGCCCCCGCTGCTCTGCTCCTGTCTTCTTTCCGCAGTGTGCCACAATGTGGGGACACTAAGAATCTTTCTGTTGCTCTACAGCCTTCACTACCACGCAACTCCAGACCTTTTGATCTTCCCTGGTTCTGCAGCCTCCTAAACCACCATTGTCCTCTGTTTATAAATCTGAGAATGCAGGGGTCTCCTGTGGATGGAGTCACACAGTACTCGTCCTGTTGTCTCTGAGTACAATGGCCTCTGTTTCTGGTTCTCATCTCTGCGTGAGTTCTTCCAGTGTCTGTGTCTTAGGGCACATTGGATCGGTGAAGTCCCCAGGGACCATGTGTCCCAGAGAAGGAGAATGGGTCACAGAGCGGTAGCAGGACTTGTGGCGTGTCCCTGCAGCTCACCTTGTAGAGATCATTCTAGAGGGGCTAACAGCAGCCTGGGAGGGAGACGCGACAGTGAAAATCACCTTCCACACATGGAACTCAGCCCCACCTATGGCTCTGCTGCAAGGAGCGGGAGGCTGATGGAGAAAGAAGGTGGAAGATCTCCAAGCAGGGAGTGGTTTGGGAATGCCATGAGGGGCGGAGTGCATCTGCTGCCCATTTTAGAGCACCTCCTCTTCCAGCAGCGAAGTTGGGGACCAGAGGCCAGCTCACTCCCTAACTCCAACACAGAGGACGCTGCTGCCAGCCAACACCACACCACACATTGCTCCATGACCATCTGCCCCTGCCCCCGCTGGCGAGCTCATTCCCCGCCTTGAACTTTGCTCTCCCCCTTCCGTCCAGGAGGTCCACAGCCGCATGTCCAGCCACATCCCGCTGATCATCCAGTACTTCGTCCTGCAGACGTTCGGTCAGCAGCTGCAGAAGGCCATGCTGCTGCTCCTGCAGGACAAGGAGGCCTGCGGCTGGCTTCTGATGGAGAGAAGTGACACCAGCGAGAAGAGGAAGTTCCTGAAGGAACGGCTGGCAAGGCTGGCACAGGCTCGCTGCCGGCTGTCCAAATTCCCTGGTTAAGTGGGCACTGTCCATCCCCGGGGGTCTTCAGCAGGACTCCAGGGGGAGGAGACTGCCTGACTCTCCTGATGGCAGTGCCATGATAATCAGTAGTGAGATGCAGGGCCGGAAGGCACCATGGAGCCCTGGAGCAGGACGGCCTCCAGCAGGGGGCGCCACTCTGTAGGGCTGGCCTGGGGGAGGCTGAGCCATCCTGATGGACACAGGCCTCACCCTGTCACCCTCATCCCCTTGTTCTCTTGTGCTACACTTTGTCATGTGACCACACCCCACTGCCCCTGTGACTTCTTATTTAGTAGCAGTTGGCCTCCATGGTTGCCTATGGGGCTTGTGTCATCTGGTCCTAATAAAACCACATTTCTACACTTCTCTGACTCTCTTTGTATTGGGATTGGGTAGGAAGTTGCCCTAGAGGAAAGGCCAGGTGGGCACTGAGGCCACCTTTCTGGGGCTGAGTCCAGAAAGAGGACAGAAGGATAGGAGTGGTGTGGTAAAGCACGGGGAAGCGGCCCCCACTGGGGAAGGCAAGGCGGGCGGCACCATCTCCTCCTCCATGCTGGCGGCCCCTGACCTGGCTCACACCGGGTCCTGGCCTGCCGATGAGGAGGAGCCATCCAGAGCAGAGGTGGTGGGAGAGGTCTTCACGCCAAGCTCAGCACCTGAGTGACAAGCCATGGATACGCATCAGGGGCCAGACGGCACCAGCAGAAACATGGTGGAGTCCCATGGCTCTCCTTCATGGGGCCTGCAGGTAGAGACCAGGGGTCCCTTCTCACCTCAGCCCCAATCCACCCTAGGGCAGGGCCTTCTTCTCCTGAGGCCACGCCTCCTGGAGGGCAGATCATGGGGTGGGGCTCAGGATGGATGGGCATGTCCTGGATATGAGAAACTCCTGAGCTCACAAGAACATTCCAGAGACAGGAGTTGAGGACCAGGCACGGAGGAGGGACCTGCCCTAGGGAGACGGGTTGGACAGAACAATCCTTTCTGCAGAGATGCCAGGAATGTGGCGATCAGGCCTTGCCCTGCCCTCCCAGGCCGTGCTGGCTTCCGGCCACGCTGGACAAGGTCCCAATGGGGGCGGGGCTGGCCTGACCACTGAGGCTGTCCCCTCCCCTGCACACCTCACCCCACGTCTCTTCTGACCTGTGGACCTGGATGATCCTTAATCCTCAGGACACTTCCAGAGAGAGAGGATGGCAGGAGGACAGCGTGCTGTGCACACGTCCAGGTCCACCGCTGCCCCTGGGGCCTCGTGTGTGAGCCAGGGACCAGCCACACCTGCTCTGCACTCCGACCTGGAGCTCCCAGAGGCTCCCAGTGCAGTTGAGCCACAGGGAAGACTAGATCTGAAATAAAGGATTCTGGGAAAGCCTGGCTATAGGCTGTCTGGTGGCCCTGCCCCCAGGTCCTGTCCATTCTCTTGTGGCTCACTCAGTCCAGCCACTGGCCAGGCGCTGCCAACAGATGGGGTCAGTGAGAGGAGGTCCGATCTCCTGGGCTCATTCTTTTTCATGTGTGCCAGACATCCCCAGCTGCCCTCCTAGTGTTGGGGCTTCTCATATCCATGTAAAGTGGCCTCGGTGCCCCTCCTTCTGCTCCTAGCCCCTGGCTGACCATCTGGGGTAGTAAGGCCAGGTGGGCATGGACCAACTGGGCTGTACTGATGGTGCAAACCTAGAGGCGGGCCTACAGGGGAGCCCAGTGTGCCCTTGGCACTGATGAGGGCCAGTTAGAGTGGAGGGCACTCTGGGGGTGTTGGATGCACCAGAGGAACAGGGTGGCAGGGACACAGAACGTGGCCACCGACGTATGAGCAGGCCCTCTCCAGGAGCAGCCTGCCCCACAGAGGGTGGCAGCCTCTGCTACCACAGAGCAACCACAGGGTGCTAGAGGTCTTCAGAGACCCGTGCGCAGGAAGGTGCTGGAAAGACCGCTCACAGACGGGGTTCACCACTGGGTGCTGACGGCTCACGCCTGTAATCTTAGCTCCTGGGGAGGCTGAGATCTGAGGATCCCAGTCTGAAGCCAACCTGGCCCAAAAAGTCTGTGAGACTCTATCTACAATTAACCAAACACAGTGCTGGAGGTGTAGAGGTGGCGCAAGCGGTAGAGTGCCAGCCTTGAATGAAAAGCTAAGCCAGAGCACAAGGCCCGGGAACAACAGTTCAATCCCAGTTCAGGCCCCAGTAACAAGATCCCAGCACTCATGTGGATGCACACACGCACACAGGCAGACACGCGCACACACACACACACACACACACACACACACACACACACACACACACACACGGCTTCATACAACCCTAGTCAGCCTCATTCTCCCTCTTCCTTGGCCCCTTCCTGTCTGTGCTCCACGCCTCTTCCCCCCCTCCCCAGCCCATCAGAGTCAACCATATGAAGGCAGGAGCATCATGGGTGAAATCTCAGGTCTGATAGAAAAGCTGCACCTGTACCACTCCCTTGACAATCAGAACCTGGGGACTCTAAGGCATCACTTGTGCCTCAGTTTCCCTCCCAGTGTGAGAGCCAAGCAGACACGTCCAGAGAACATTTGAAGATAGTGTTTTTAAAACCTAGAGCAGGGGGGCTGGGAAGGTGGCTCAGTGGTAGAGCGCTTGCCTTGCATGCCTGAGGCCCTGGGCTCGATTCCTCAGCACCACATAAGCAAAAAGAAAAAAAAGCCGGAAGTGGCGCTGTGGCTCAAGTGGTAGAGCGCTAGCCTTGAGCTGAAGAGCTGAGTGACAGCGCCCAGGCCCAGAGTTCAGGCCCCACGACTGGACCCAAAAAAACAAAACAAAACAAAAAACCTAGAGCAGGCCAGAGTTGGGGGTGCATATGTTGATAGTTTTTAAAACCTAGGGCAGGCCAGAGCTTGGGGGTGTGTGCGGTGCGGTGCATACTTGGAGATTTACTACATGTCTGGCCAGTATCCATTACAAACTGTAGCATCCAGTGCTTCATAGACTATGACCGGACTACAAGCTTTACAACTGCGCCACCTAGTGACAATCATGCAAGCTGCATGTGTGAGTCTACCTGCAAGGGAAAGCAAGTCACCTACCCTGCTTTTATTAGAAAGTAAGGACAAAGTGGTTCCCCAGTGAGTATGGGCCGCGTCACCCTCTTCTCTCGAGGTTTAAACAGTTTAGAGTTCTTCTCTTTCTCCTCCTCACCTGACTGATGTCACACATGTAGAGTCTCTGAAGGGGCCTGGCCTGAGTATCTGCTGTGTCTCAGCGCCCCCACTAGGGACTGAAGGCCTATGATGATCCCAGCACAGAGGAGACTCCCTGCACTGGGAGCGTGGCTCTGGAAGCAGGCCCTGAGTGTGGACCAGAGAAAGGCCTTGGAGGGGGGTGGAGCTGGCTCCACTCTCTAGCTGTGACCACTTCTCTGCCGTGGGCTTTCCTGGGCAGGAGCCTTCAGCTGGCCTCCACATTCCAAGCGGCCATTCCTTTCCTATTCCAGCCTGTTCTACATCTTTCCATTGAGCCCGAACACTCCTTGTGCGCAACCTTGATAATTCCCAGGAGCCCCTGTGGGAGAAAGGAAATAACAGCTCATGACATGTCACCGATGGGATCCCAGAAGCCAGGATCTGAGAGACAGGATGTTTAAGAAAGTTCCAAGCCCAAATGAGAAGAGAGTGTTATTTATTCAAATAAGCCAACCCGTTCTGTTTTCAGTGATGCATAATCTTAAAACTGGTGGAACACACAGGTATAAAAATAAGATTCTTTTTAGAAAATTCCAGTTTTGAAGGGTACAACAATTGTGAGGACATTTGCCCACAGCCATGAGGCCACTTGTAAAGTGAAATAAACACCTTTTGACTCCGACTCTTGCTCTTATCACAACTCAGGTTGAAATCAGTTCAGTGTCCTGGAAGTGGGGGAAAACTCCTAAAGGGAAATAGGATAGCATTTCAGAAATACAAGTGATAGTTCAGCATCCTGTATGAAGGTGTAAGACAGAGGCACACACAAGTACATTTTACAAAGCACCACGTTTGGCCTCTTTGTAGCAAGTCACTATGCAGCACAAAGTCTTCTACCAGACCCCAGAGCTTACACTTTCTAAGCAGGGGACATACGCGGGCTTTTCAATGGCTCAACAAGGACATTTTAGAAACATAAGTATGGTTACAGTGCAGATGAGAAGAAACTGTAGGAAATGCATCATTTGAAATCACACAATTTCAGCTTTCCATGAACACATGACATCCTGTGACTTCACACTCACGCCGCCCTCCCTACAGTAAATAACTCTTTCTTAATAAGAATATGTGATAACCCATATGTTGGTGACTCATACCTGCAATCCCAACTACTCAAGAGGCTGAGATCAAGAGGATTGTGGTTTGAGGCCAGCCTGGGCAAAAAGTTCACAAGATTCCATCTTAGCCAATAAGAAGATAGGCATGTTGGCTTGCATCCGTCACCCCAGCTATGGGGGGAGGGGGGAGGCGCGCTGAGATTCAGGAGGATGGATGGGGTAAAGTGAGACCTTATCTCAAAAAATGAACCAGAGTTAAAAAGAGCTCAAGAGGCTGAGCTCCTACCTAGCCAGTGCAAAGCCTTATACTGCGGTATTGTACCCTAGTACTGCAAAGTCCGTGTATGTATAAGTGTACACATATATGCATGTATGTATACACAGATATTGATAGGTGATACTATCTATACACCCACAAGGAGGAAAATGAACGTGTATGTGGGAACAGCCCTGTTTTATCATCCCAGCAATGAAGAACACAAAACTATTCAAAAATTCCTAGGACATTTTATGTGTTTCATGTGATTTTTATTATTTGTTTATTATGATTAATTAGCTTCTCCCCTCCCCCCTTGATCTCCAAGAGATCTTTAAATGTTCTCTCAACATTTCACCCGGGAGGGCTCAGCTCAGAAGTGTGAGGCTCAGGTGATCTTTCCTTCAGCAGGTGTAATGTAGCCAGCTGCCAGCTGTCCCCGAGGTCACAGGCAGCAGCGGTCACTGGGAGACAACTAGCCCTCCTTGTGATATTTTCATCTGTGTCTGTTTTGTGAACCAAAGTACTTCTCTCCTCCGCCTCATGGAAGCAGAGCCTGAGGAGGGGCATGTGCATCTCACAGGTCTGGCTGCAAAGGTGAGGTCCGTCTTATCTCTTTAGAGACAGCAGTGCACCCACAGCGAGGTGCACACAATAAACCCGTCCTACGGTTCTGGACTCTCATTTGCCACCTATCCTCCTCTGCCCACCGGACCACCGTGCTGTCCCCTGTCCCATCCTGAGCCTCAGATCCTAAGTAGAAATGTCTCATCACCCCTGTGGCCGCGGTGGGCAGAGAAGCAGCGGGTGGCTTGGGCAAGGGACAGC